CTAAACACTCATCAAAATTTCTATGCAGTCGAAATAGTTTTCTTAACACGTTAAACGCCACGCCGGTTCCTAGGAACCGGCGTCAGACTTTCCGTTCAGGTAGGGACCGGCCGCGGACGTTAGGTTCATATTACACGACCGCGCGTGTCGGTCCTTACGCATTGATGTGAGACTAAATATTTTGCTTAGGCGACATCGGTTTTTGTTCAGTCAAGGCTTGAAAAAAAAGAATATAATATTTAAAGAAAGTTAATGTAGTTTATTAAAACAGGGTAAACAGAGGTGTGGTTTGCTTTTATATTCATTGCAGAAGGTGCTAACTTTTTGTGTTAAATTCTTTGCCATTTTTGAACCTAATATTCGGGAATTATTATTATAACATTGAGAAAACTCCGGTCCTCAAGCCGATATTTCGGTTCGTCCGTCAGCGGTGACGGCCGCGTCTGGGCCTGAACGAAACGCCAAGCAAATCAAGCTGGACACTTAACGTGTTAATAAAGCAGATACTAAAAAGCCAAGAATTTTCATAAGGATTACTTTGCTATTTTTTTACTAATTCAGTTCGTTCGATACGCTACTAAGAAAATTAATATTTAAGTTTACATAAAAAATGGTGTCTCCCGAATTCAGGTGACATAGCTGTCAAAGTATTAGCTGTCGAGCTTGTGACATATTCGAGCATGACGAATTCATAAAAAGTAATATTAAACCTTACTCATTTTTTTGAATTCAATTTAGTTTTTCTATAAAACAAAAAGCTGTTGTTACTAGAAATTAAATGGCAACGATTTTATGTTCATAAGAAAATGGGAACAAGGTTAATACTTTGAAGTTCGTAAGTAATACTGTTTACTGAGAAAATTTGACAATTAAGGGGTTAAGGTATATTTTGAATAAAAATTATATCTTAATAATATTTCAACATTCTATATAATAATTTTCTCCTTTAATTTTTTAGATGTTTACTAAATATCTAAAAGAAGAATATCTTCATTAAAAGATATTAGATGAATTACTAAAATAAAATAGTTCTATCTACACGCAGATACATTGATTCGTGTATTATTTCTATTTAACAGAATCAATAGTTTAATATATTATTCAGTTAGAAAATAATGAATGTACGCAGGGATAAAACTTTCCAGTGGAAAGAGCTAAATGAACTTCTGCCGCTGAAAATAGCACATGGCTAATAATATTCTGGGCATTTCCGAGATTCTCTCGGTTTGTCCTTAAAAATGCAAATTTATACAAATATTCCCAGTCCACTTGTAACGAACGTGTCACGATTCCGGCTGCATCCGAATATATTCTTTGCAAGTGTATCGTTATTGGTGGACGGAAAATTTTATGTGGTTATATTGAGTGAGAGTGCTCGAGGGAGAATTATATATTATCACATATTAAATCTAATAAAATCTAACAGGCCTCATTGTACGCACTCTGAACGGAATACAATATTTTAAAAATCAATAAGTAATTAAACTGCTTTTACTTTATTGATTGACATTAACTGATTTATTACATTGAGGAAAAAAAGGTGCAAGTAAATATTATCGGAATTCCCACCAACAACTAGAAATAGTATTAGCAGTCAATGTGTTAATGAAGGAAACATTATATTTTCATTTTATTTTTTCTTAATTGTATTTAATCGAATTCTTTGTTTTGGAGTATGAATTAAGTAAAGGTATACAATAATGATTGTTATAAGAGGAATCCCTGTGTTTCTGGATGTCTTATTCGAAATTTTTTCTCTATTCTAAAATCTCTATTTCCAGAAAGCCTCTATTTTCTCTATTTCCTATATTCTCAGAAGTTTGTCGGGCAGGCGTTGATATTTGCAAGAAGTGAAAACTATAAGTGATGAGCAGACCTACTAGGTGATTCGTACTATGGCGATGCGTACTCAATACATTTTCAAATGCCATCATTTCAAAATTAAAGAATCGCATGAAGAAATTTTGTTTTGCATTTTTTATTTAGTTTTTTATATAGAATAATTTCCTTTCTAGTTAAACCACGATTTTGGAAATGCCCAACATAAATATACTTAACCATTTGCGCTTGAAAGACGTGTTACGCACGTCGTAATGTTTTTGTCCGAAAATTACCAACGACATATTTTACACGTCGATAGTCTTATTGAATTACATATACCAGATTGTTACGAAATCTACCACTTCGTACATAATTATTGGTAAACGACATCTGTGTACATATCTGTATATAATATGCGAAGACAAAATTCTTTGCGCGTGATCCTTTCAAGTTTCTCAATTCGTTGCTAGTGCAATTGGTTAAACATAACATATAGAATAGAAATAATATAGACATAAATATGATACGTGAACATATTATATAAACAAAATTTATAAAAAAATTTAAAACCACATAACCTAAGAAACAATTTTATAATTCATAAATATTTTATTGTGTACCATTCTTCTAATAATAGCAGAAATATTTCGTTTACTAAAATTGAGTAATACATTCTGCATGGTAATAATTGCCATTGAAGATATAATATTACAGTAGAACATTGCTTATCCAAACCTTGTTTATCTGAACCAATAAATGCTAAATAAACAAAATTCTTCGCGCAAGACTTTGCCAAATCTCTGAATGAAATTCCAGCGCAAGAAGTTAAACACAGAGAACGTTTTTGTAAAATAATTTCATTCTATTTGATACTAATGGCATACACATAACTTGCTGCTAATACCAATTTTATTCATTAAACTAATGAAATACTGATTGAAATCTGACCCAATTAATTGATAACTAGAAAATCGCACGTATTTCTTCCGGTACCTAATATTTCTGTACATGTGTACTCAGAATACGTACGCGTTCACACAATTAGAATTAAGCGAGGTTTTGTGTGGATCGATCTTTTTTACCAAAACAAATATGGTTAGGAGGTAGGAACAGGTAGGAGGTGAACCTCTGTTTACCGAACTTGTCAGTTATCCGACCAGACTTGCCCTCCGATGTGTTCGAATAAGCGAGGCTCTACTGTATACTGCTTCGTTATAAGATCGCCGCCGATGCCAGGTCGCGAGTTCATAGCAAAACAGTATAGTATTCAGAGTTAAATATCCTCGATGAGTATCGTGGCTTAACGAGCAAGTGGAAAGATTTCTCTCGCCGTGATCGGCCATCATTTTGCCCGCACTGGAAACTCGTAAATCGGAAACAAGCGTCGCAACATTCACCACGGCGATTGCCAAGAATCCACCGTTCCGCGAAATTCTGGCCGTTTCCTGGGAACACGTCCGTTGTACGTTGACATTTTGTTCATTGAACTGCATCGTCGGACGGAGTCCAACTGCCCGTGAAATTCGTTTCTGTCCATTCAATGAATCCACACTTTCTCTTACGCTCGAATCATTACGGTGCACCGGCACCGCGCGGCTATAGTTGTTAGGCTCCTGATGAATTGCATTTCTCGTGCGAGGTGTTCCTTATCCCCTGGCGTAGGAAGTAAGCTGTTTTTTGGTATTGTTTATGATTTTGTATTATTTCGAATCTTCTGGGAAATGTGAAGTATTGTTCTCGATAATTACGAGTTTCTAACCATTGATACTCTAATGACGGAATATTCGTTTACATTTATTATATTTTTGTTTCGTTTTATTCTAATCTGGGAAGCTTATTATCGTATTCCTAAATGAATATGATATTGAATATGTGATATGTAGTGAAATAACTTGAAATCATTTTTAATGTTAACCTGTTTCATAACTATAACTTTAATAAATTGCGCGTTTTTGTATTGCTTTTCAGCAGTCGTTTTCTTTCTCGAATAGCTTTATATGACTAATGGTTTAGATTATAATAATTAAGAATTATTAGCATGTTAAACATGTAATACCGTTTTAAAGAATATATTAAATTTATATATAGTTTTAGAAGGTTCGTTATAAATGTTAATTATACATTGATATATTAATATATTATTTTGTACTAAAATTATATTGAAACATGAGAACGGTTTGTTAACATTTCGAAGTTGTAGAAAATAACGTGAGAGGAATAGAGAATTATAAATGTTGCATTACGAAAACTTAATTTTACACTGAGAATGAGCCGCTGCAAGAATGAGGATGCAGGTAATTCAGGTATTCCGTGGGAGTGATATCCGTGTGGGAGTATCGGAACGTTGCAGGTGAGAACAACCGATGCAGAGGTACAAGCGAACATAGATATCTCACGTCGAGGTCTTCGCAAAGGTCTGTTGAACGGACACACATAAGGGAATTATGCCGCAATAGTTTTACTATGTGCGGCAACCTTTGGGATCTTTTGTACTTTCACTTTATCTTTTGCATTTAAATAAGTACACTGATTTAAAATAATAATAATGACTGAAACACAATTGTATTTTATGTTTTATTTCTTTGTCATTTTATCTTACTTAACATGTTATCACTTTTAATATTCTGTATTTTATTTGGGATTCATTTATAAAGTATTTGATTCCGTAAGAAAAATTAGAATGCTGTTTTCAATGGTGAGAATGTAATTTGAAAATAATTACTTGCAAAAATGAAATTTTAAAATTAATTTATATGCGCGTTTATTTTCAAATAAGTTAATCTCTTATTTGCATTGGAATAACTATTTGTATTCTTTATGTATTTTTTTCGTTTTAAACCAGATCACTCCAACTTCGCTTAAGACAACAACTTTCATTTAATATTTAGTATTATTTTGAAGTGTTTATCTTGATGTATTAAACAAATCACGAAATAAATGATATAAGATTTCTGTTAGATCGTACTAATAAAAGCTCCGAAGAAACGAATCTTTTCGTAAAAAGAATAAAAGATTACTTTCCGCTTCAGCGTATTGCAGGATACAAAACCGATGTCTGCGTTTAGGCGAGAGTTACGTCATCTTGTGACGGTATCTTAGACTCGTTATCAGTTCGGATCTTTTAATCGGAAGATAAGCGGAGACAATTAAATCACATTTACGTTTCCCATTTGTTTCAGGTCGGGGCGATTTCGTCGGAGGGATAGACAACGAGGCCCTGGACTTCTCACAACTGGAAGATTTCATTAACAGCGATAGCGAACAGCCGGCGACGTGAGTAATTTTCCTGTAATTTTAATGATACATTCTGTTGAATTATAATTAAATCAATAATATTATATTAGTATACTTATATTGAAGTTAAAATCACCGACTAATGGTTTGGGGTTTTCTATAAGAGGGATGATTTATACGTGACAACTTATTTTTATTATTATACAGAAATAAAATTTGTCGAGACACGCTCTTGCACACGTGGCGTAGAGGAAAGAATGAATAAGAAGAAAAAAAATGATGCGCGCGCTTCGCAGACGCCAGTGGCAGGCACTGCCAATTACCAAAGTCCTACTAATTTATAATGTAACATATTAATATTTCATAGTTATTAATAATTAAATAAATTATATTTTATTTAATTTTTAAAGACACAGTATATTTTGATAACAATAAATTAATGTAATATTAATATGACGGAATGATATAACAAAAAATATAATATCAAATATTTGTTATCTAATATTTGACACGGTCGATAATATAATCACTTTTAACTTCTTGTATCTCCCGGATCATAATAGAAACAAACACAACATATAATAAAAAATGATTTTAGTAATTACGGAACGAGTTAAAAATGAATTAAATCTCGGCGTACTTAGTTTTAGAAAAGTTTTGTGAACCATAAGTGCATAATATCTTTAATTTATTTATGATCAATTCTGTAAACGGACTGTGAAATTTTATGCATTTATAACGAATGTCTGGAACTCATTGACGGAGGAGTTAAATTTCTGTTTACTTTTAAACAAATTTATTTTAATGTTGATATACCTTCGTGTTCTAGTTTATTATTTCTTGTTTTTTTACTTTAATATATTTGGTCGTGTTGCTGTTTAATATATTTTATTTGTCTAATTTACCGTTTACATGTTAATATGTGTTAAAAATTCGATGTATCAATTTGTTTTGTTCAATGCGAGGTTCGATGTTCAGTATGAACTTGGTCTAGTCTGATATGTTTTGTTATATGACGATACGTTCTGCTGTTATTCGTATTTTTAAATAAAATTCTGTTCCATGTATGTTCCTCACATAAATAATCCGCCAATACGAACATATCAGACGATCGGATCAGATTTTAAATATTTCTCTGATAAATTGAACTTCGGAAGCCATCGTTAACGCCTACATCCAGAGCACACGTGTTATGTGCGTAACATCACTACCAGAATCTCGAGTTCACGCTCCATCAGTCGTCAATACACAGTTCCTTTCGATATTTTATTTTAACGTTAAAATCACTCATTAATACTTACTTATTACTGTGTTCGCGTTCCTAGAATGCGTTTAATTTTTTTACCATAAAACAGTCTAATTTTTAGAAAAATGAAAGTTAAGAAATTTCAAATCGTGTTGTATATAAAGTAATATAAAAGGAACAATATAAATGCATGTATAATTAATCGATAATCTATCAATCTTAAATTAATAAATAAAAATAACTAAACGTCGTCTCGATACATGGTTTATTAAATTAAATTTATAAATTTTTTCTCTGAAAAACATGAACTAAATATATATGCTACAGTGTATAGTGTTAGTGAACAAAAGAAAGGAATTACATATTAAAGGAAAACAACGTGAGTCATATTTTTAAAAAGTGTAATCTTATATCTGTACACAGATAAAATTTATATTTTCAAAAGACAAAAGACGCATTAAAACAATAACTTCTTTCTCAAAGTAACGGATGTAAGAACATTGAAATCTACAGTTACGTACATATAGGTATTTTAACACTAGAATGATAAAGTGTTTTATGCGATAGTTATTTATTACTTTCATCAAAATTGTAGTACTAGATTTTTTTAAGTTTCTACGAGTATTATATAATAGCATCCAAGTGAAGCTATTAATTTGTACAATTATTTCATATATTTAAAACTTTTACGATATCAGTAATTACAAAACAAGGAAATTAAAACCAGTCGTTTGGACTGACACGGTAGTTCTAGTGTTAAAACCTCAAACCGCAATATGTTGAAACAGAAAACATTTTATTTAGGGTGCTCTGGCGTGCAACCACAGATATTGCAATACCATTGTTCGTAATCATACTTTTCATTGTAATTGTATATAAACCTTTTCTCTCTCTCTCTCTCTCTCTCTGTATCTATCTATCTATATATATATATATAGAACCCAATGATAAAATTTTCCGATTAAAAGAACGATTAAAATTCTATTACTGGTTCGAACTGTTGTCTTTAATTTGAAATAAAGTTGCGTAGAAGTTGTTTAACGTTGCGTATCACTACATGTGCGTGCAGACAATGTCTGTCCAAGTTTGCTAGAGAAAAACTGCTGCGACACTGGTGCTCACGAACTCAGATTAACGTCGAAACGTTCTCACTTCAAGCACCCCGTTCCGAATCAAGCCAATTAAAGAATTCAGATCTAATGCGCTTACCAGCGTGTTGCAATGGCACGCGTTTCCTGCCAACCATAGAACTCGTCGCGTTGAATCTCTTAACTGAATGCTCTAGGCACAATGTACTCGATCCCTCGGTGGAACGTATTCTCTTATAAGTTCGTCATAAAAATCAGAATTAATTTATTGTTAGTCTTCATATTCCTCATACGTATTCCTGCGGATTTTTCTACAAATTCCTTTTTCCATAGGTCACTTTACAAAAATCAGAAGAATGGATGAAATTCTTTCATTAAATAGGAAATTCTGCGATGAATATAAAATCAAAATGATATTAATTTTTATCGAAACGTTTGCTTCCTTGTATTTTACAAATTTGTTCGTGCTATAA